TTTATGTTAGGTACACTAATGATACACTCATGAGAAAATTTCGCCAAATAGTATGAATCAGTTTTGGAAAGGAAATCTGCTTCAATAATAGAAGGCCGTATTGAGCCTAGAGCGAGTTGAAAAGGGTTCATGCTCAACAGCTGTTTTGCTTGAGTTATACACGTCTTCAATAGAAAATTCTCATTGAAACAAATCTATTAGAAAGATATCAGATTATCTAATGTCTTCTCATCTTAAATACTTTTATTGAAAATTCTCCTATACGGTTATAGCTCATAACAGGAAATACTAGAAAGCCTAACACTTTAATTGTGAAGTAATCCTAATGAGTACTTGTACTAAATTGGCCATAACTCAAGAAGAAAGAATTATAAGACATTCTTTTAACAAATTCTCAACTTGTAGAGTTCGTCGCTGACTACTAACGAGGAGACCATCTTAACTGATACTCATCGTTTGAGTTAAGTTATAATTGTTCTATTGAATTTTCAATCCAACTTTAGACACATAATGAAAAATGAAAAATTTGAATTTTTATTGAGATAACGATTTTCAAAGAAAAGAATCTCTTGTCACAAATATAATATAAAAATTGAGTTTACGTAAAAATTAAATATTTTAACAAAAAAAAAACTTCCTTTTTAGCTAAAAATTTCATGATATTTTACAAATCAGAAGACCTATCTATGAGCAAAATTTTACGTCGCAATTCTGCTTTGAGTAATTTAGTCAGAGCATCCTTGTTGACTTAAAAGGAGCTCAAACGGCGAGTATCAATTTGAGTGATTTCTTCGTAAGCATCAGTATGTGTGTCTAAAATCATCACATCATCCATGCTTTACAGAAATCTGATAACCGATGATTAGTTAAATTCTAGAATTAATTGTGACACATCTATCTGGAATTAGTCGAGCTGAGTAAGATTCATTCTCAATACAGACTCTCCTCTCATGAAATAATTGAAATTTAAGTAGAAAATAGTTAAGCAAAGACTTATACATAAACATGTATATCCTATTCATTAAATTGCACATTCAAAATTCTACTCAAAACTAACTTTGTTTTTAATGTTTACATCGTCTTCTTATTATTTGCATGAACTTAGTTGAAATAAGACAACAAATTTGATTTATTTATATTTCTCCATGATAAATTGATAGTTTTTTTGGTTAAATCTGACGAAAAGTAATATTTATTTATTAAAATATTTATTATTCAAATAATAGTATTTTCTTTATTTATAGATATGACGGAAACTATTATTGAAAAAGAGAAAGAGAAAGAAAGTTCAGTTATAGAAAATGAAACTGATGGTTTAGAAACAGCATGTTATCGAAAATGCCATGGACAATTTTGTTTAACACCAACCGTAAACCATTTTGAACATGAAATTTCATTAGATTTTTCACCATTTATTGATTCTTTAACAAATTATTCAACAGTAAAATATGAACGCATTGAATCTTTACTTAAATTAGATCATTCAATTGATCGAGTGAAAAATTTAATTCTCAATAAACATATTACATGTACGGATTTATGTTTATATTATTTAAAACGTGTACAGATGACAAATAATTATTATAAAGTTATTATTGAACTTAATCCACATTTACTTTCAGAAGCTAAACAATTAGATGAACAAGTCAATAATAATACAATCAATAATCAATTATTATTATTTGGTTGTGTTGCTGGTGTTAAAGGTAATATTAGTATACGTGATATGTACAATGATGCTGGTGCTTATGTACTTCATGAAAATAAAATGAAAGATGATGCACCTGTTGTTCAAAAACTACGAGAACAAGGTATAAATATTAAGAGTTGTTTTTTCATTTGCGAACGTGAATAAAATTTGATAGTTTTTGTTAGTTTTTTCTAAAACGATTATAAGTGAAAGGAGATTATAAAAGAAAAGTTTTATCACATTCATTGTGATAATTCAATATTAACTGCGGCTATGAAATGGATGCAGACTTGTAACTATTAAAAAGTTTTAGACTACCATTTAAGTCTTCAGTAAAATAGATGAAATGGTCAGTATTAAAAGTCCCAATTCGTATCAGTACATAATAAGCTTTGCTAATAGAAAATAAATCAAAGAACCACAGAATAAATAAGAAAAAGAAAATTGAATTATTGTATTAGTGAAACAAATTTTGCCTTTGTTGGTCTACTTATTATTCTTTTCTTACCAATTGTAACTATCTTTGTTGCTGCTGATAGTTTACATTATGTTACACGAATAGCTAGTTATACCTACATGTTTGCATGTATCATTTAAAAAAAGCTGAACGGTTGTATTTCGATGTTTTCTAATGTGAGGCATTTTCCATTTCCACAAACCAAATATTAGATGATTTTTGTTTTGGTTATATTTATTTAAATCAGCGTCTATAATTGATTGTAACCCACGAGTTGATATATGATATCTTTTTTAAAGAATCATTTAAAAATCAAATAATATCTTTTATTGATTAAGCCTATCGATATGATAAATCCCATCATTTTAAAGATATTGTCAGTTCTGCAGCAAATATTCTTACATCAAATGAGGATAGAAGAACGAGAGCATATATAGAACAGCTGAAAAGAAAGGAAAAAACGAACAAAAATGATTCACTCTATAACTTTTTGATTTTGCTACTAATGCTTTAATATAACCGGCTATTAGCAAATTTTATTTACTGATCATTTGATTTCTTTTACTAGTCATAAATCATATTCTCGAATTTTTTTACCGATCTAGAGCATTGTATATTTGATTCCATATTAGAATTAGACAGTGTGTTCAAGTACACGAAAGAAAATCTTATAGCATTTATAATAACAATGATGTCTAATGAACTCTATGTATCGCAGCCATAGGTCATTTATCAATTGTCCACGAAGTTTTTGACAATAGTGGCAATCGATCATAGGCGATATGTGCAGGATACGCTTTTTTTGTACTATATACTCTAACGAAGAAAAATGTCCTAATCCGTACTCTATTTTACATAGTGGGATGCAGTAATATACAGTAACTCTGCACATATCTAGTTCATAGCTGCCCTCTCCTGGACATACTTTGTGTGGAAGATTACCCATAAATCAAAAAGATTCCTTAGCTGTATCATTGACTAAATGTATAAGTTTTCTTAAAATTCTTATAAGTAAATTTTAATGCAAAAATCTCAAACTCTGAATTATTTTTTCATTTAAAAATTTAAAACAAAATCATTGACATAAAGTTCAACAATTTTTTTTAGTAGTTTAAATTTTATGTTCACAAATGAGAAGACACACATGAAACTAATTTGAATCGCACGAATATGTTGCATTGTTTAGGTTGTATTATACTTGGTCGAACTAATCTATCTGAATGGGCATATGGATTTACGGAAAATGCTCCATCAGGTTTTTCAGCTGTAGGAGGTCAATGTCTTCATCCAGATGATATACATGAAGATGTTAGTGGTTCATCTAGTGGTTCAGCAGCTGGTATTAAATTACATCTTTTTACATTTTCATTAGGTACAGAAACTCAAGGATCATTATTATCACCAGCAATAAATGTAAGAAATGTTTGTGCACTCAAACCGTCACTTGGTACATGGCCAAAACAAGATATTATTCCAATTAATTATGATCAAGATTCATGTGGTCCTCTGACAAGATGCATTAAAGATGTCGAATTATTACATAGAATTGTTTCAGGAATTAAAGAAGATAATAATAATTATCATCGATCACTTAGAGTTGGTTATCTTGGTATGTTTAATTATCATGTATTTCAATGATCGTATGGTAAACTGTATAGAAAAGAGTAGATTTTATGACCTCGAGAGTGGTATAAAAGTTCTTGATATCTTCGAATAAACTAATGTCATTCTCTAACTTCAGCGACAGTTGATAATTAAGTATTTGAAATTATTATAAGAATATGTTCTAACAATATTTTTATCCATTAATAAAACATATCATTAATGCTTCATTTGAAATTTCAAGTACATATGATCACGTTGATAACATTATCTAAATTGACAAACTTATGTATTGTCTGATTACTTAAATCGTCTGATATTAAAATTAATTATTTTTCTATATTTGATTTCTTTTAGGTCAATCACAAGATGGCATTGTATTGTTTCAAGCACTTTCTAGTCTATTACCTCTGACAACTTTAATTAATTTAAATAGTGATCTATCTCTTGCTCAACCAATAGCATCCGTATTAAATCCAACTAGTTCTTGTAGTGCAACATTTCAGGATTTCCTTTGTTATGCTCTTTCACGTGATATTCCATCATATTTATCAAATCATTCATCTTATTATTCTCATCAAACTCTTTCATCTATTATTGAATGGAATTCATCTCATTCACAATATATTCCTTATGGTCAATCATTATTTATACGAGCTATAGAATCACCAATTACACAGGAAGCATATAATGAATATAAAAAAACAATTCAAGAATCTTTTCAATCATTAGTTAACTATCTTAAATCAACATATTCACTTGATTGTTTAGTAACAATTGGTAATGATGACATATTTGCTGGTACAACAATATGTGGTATACCACGTGCTAATTTAACACTTGATTATTATAATCCTGAACATAGACAAATAAATGTTGTTGTTATTGGATTTTCTCATGGTGATGATCTTCTTCTTCTTCGTTTTCTTCAACGTTTAGAAAAAGCAAATCTTCAAGTTGGAAAAATTGACACACGAACATTATTTCAAAAATATATTCAATATCCAATAAGATCTGTTTATAATCATGGTTGCTCAATACTTTAAATAAACTATTCACTTTGTAAATAATCATTACTTTTCATGAATCTGGTGCTTGTTTTTGATTTTTTCCGTGATCACTGAATGACAAAAAATTTATTCGCCTAGACATATTATTTTATTTTAATACAATACCTCTTTTTCCTTCAAATCAAATTTTAAATTATTCGTATTTTTAGATTTTTATAAATTTTTTCAACGTTTAATTATTATGATGACTGATAATAATGATGACAATCGAATTATTCAACGAAGTAATTCGTCACCATCTGAAAAACATATTGAAGATAATGAAAAACCGGTAACATTAACATCAATTACAACACCAACAGCATATGATTGGGAAAGTGATAAAAGACGTTCGAAACCTTTTGATGATGGAACAATGAGTTTTTTTTGGCGTACACATACTATAACATGTCTGGTTATAGCTTTGTCATATTTATTCTATGTTGCTATTTTGGAACAACCATCAGAAGATTCGACTTATAATACGAAAAGGTAAATGAAGTTTATTTTGAACATGATTTTAATTTATAAGAAGGAAAAAAAATTATTAATTATAACTTTATTTATTTTATATAAATCGCAGTATGAATGGAATACAAAGAATTTTGAAGTTTCTTTTCTTTTTTAAAAATGAACTCGAGTAATTGAACTAATAGCTGAATAAATTTTTCTAACTATCAGTGGAAAGTTTTGTATTGAGCGTTAGAAACATTAGAACTATTCGGACAATATTGAAGCGTTGACTGTTAAACTAATAAATTTTAAAACAAGGAGTTTCTCATGGCGTGTACTGACTGAGATATTCAAATTTTAAGATATATACAGTGTATATAATAAGCCTACAATTCATAATTTCAGTGGGAATATTTGTGTTCATAACTGAATAGGATATGCTGAATTATATAAGGAAAAGTATCTTGATTTTCGAGAAATTGTTTATTTTTGGAAGACATTCTTTTGTATGAAGCTCAACGAGCTTTATTCAACTATAAGCAAAAAAAGTCAACTCCACTGAAATACTGCATTGTGAGTACATTGCATGCATCATAAATACTTTGAAATTTAAATATTTGAGTTAGTGCGCGCGCTACAAAAGCTAATATTTTACATCTATTATTTTAGCAGTAAATGCTTTAATTGAATTCAAATATGTCTAATGATAAAAGACGTTAAGACACTTCCCTAGGATTTCTAAAGAATAGTAAAAAAAAATGTTTTTCACGATTTAATAAAAGTCTTTATTTTTAATTTTTAGAGGTCTTCTAGCATGTGCCGGTTTTTTTCTTGTCTTTGGTATGACACAAACACCTGACGGTGTTTTTGTTCGACCTCATCCTGGTAAATTCATTTCTTTTTCTTCTTTAAAATAAATATTATCATTGAATTTGGCTGCTTTCTTTTTTCTAGCTCTTTGGCGTCTTGTGCTTTGCTTCAGCGTGCTGTATGAAATTGTACTGATCTATATTCTATTTCAAGTACGTAGATATATACATACACACATAAACTCAATTAAAATTTAGACGGTCGACGATGCAAGACAATTATTAAAAACTATCGATCCATCATTAGGTGTACCATTACCAGATAAAGATTATGGAGGATCATGTCGTATTTACGATTGGGAAAATCCAGAAGATCCATTTCATTATTTTAAAGTAAGAGAAAAACAACAAAGATGGGATGAGTTCGATTTGAAATGATTAGGGGTGGCACTTTAACTTAACTTTAACTTTAAACTTTTTAAAGTTAAAGTGCACTTTTTCCTATGAAAGTAAAGTTTTGTTAAAAATTCATAAAACTTAATCAATATTTATAAAAGTATCAACAACTATTTATGGGCTATGTAACATGACTATTTATAGGTCGTTGACTACCATATAACGGAAGTATTCTTGGATCATCAACGACTGTATGAAGAGGATGCTCATAGATTAGTCAAAGGTATAGAATAGTGTTACCTGTAGGTTATCGAGTGCTATATAAGTGAGTTATGAATAGCTTACTAACTACTAAATAACGGTAGTAGCTCTTGGTCACGTGCTACTATGTAATAAGAATAACTATAAACTTTTAAGGGTTATGCAAAGTTGATATACGGCACTCTTCATATCGTCTGTCATGGAACTACTCTTGAATGATGATATATCATGTTAGGCTGATTTGCATTTCTGCTTATTAACCATCTAAGTTAGCTTTTCATACTAGACCTTGAACTGTATACAGGTAGTTTACATAATTCATCATAAATAATACAGAAATAGTTTCCGATATTCCTTAGCGAGATTCCGGATGGAAGGCCATGGTTGATAGATAGCATTTTGATATTGATTTGTAATGATCATGTATGGAATGTGTTTCGATGTCTGAGTACGCGTTCTCTTCACTCACAGTTTAACAAAATCACGTTAATCTTTCATTGTGATCGAAATCATGCTTCATGTTCTCTTACACGGTTTCAGTTCTATTATTTTATTTTTTTAATCGCATTAAATTATTTGTTTTGTATATGAGTGATGTCTTTCAAGTAATTCTTGTGTCCAACGTTCATTTGATCAGTACTATGTACGTGGTTTTGTTTAAGTTGCCTGATTCTGTATGTACAGGTACAGAAAATATCTATATCTCAGTTTGATCTTGTCTCGCTTAGTTATTGACACTTTTGAGTGTTACCGCTCCGAATCCACTATAGACCTAGTAAGGATCTGATCTACTGGAAAGAATGTCGAAAACTAAATACTGAAGTCAAAAACTATTGAAACAAATGATGTTTTCTAGAAATTGGCACTTTAATCACATATAGCCCACTGTTCGTTGTTTTATAATGTTGGTAGTATAGATTTTTATCTAGTAACAATAGTTATCGGTAATATTTAATTTAAACCGTTTCAAAGAGTTGCATGAAGAACTACTATGTAATTAAAGTTCTATCATTCTGACTGAAACTGTTGCAGTTTCAACAGCCGTAATGCAATCAAAATCTTTAGCCATTTCATTTATCAATTAACATAAATCTCAACTTTCATGGATAGCAGATGAATATGTGTTTATATTGACTAAAACAACGCCCACTACTAAGTATGGAATGAGTACGGCTTATGAACGAACAGTTTCGTGAACACTCAGGAGGAAGACTAAAACAAGTGAAAAGGATTGCTATTCAACACCGTAAAGATAATATTGGCGAATGATATTATGACGATGTTGTAAATACTGTAAAAAAAAGTTAGATGGCTTTTGATTTACAGTAGCAAATAAAAAAATGACGTAGCATCGATCTTGTTGAGTACTTATATTTGATCTCTGTCACAATGTTAATATCGACTGATATTTTAAAATATGTTCTTCGCTACTTAGAATTCTTTGAACTACTTAACGCTTGTTTTCATATAGGTTTTATTTATCCGAAAATTTTCCCATAGACATTCGTCTTTCGGCATTTTTTGTCCTTCTTTCTTTTGATAATTCTGTTAGCTGCAGGTTATCATTCTAACAAAAATCCTCATTTAGATCATCCTGTCCTAGATAAAACAGTGGATTACATCATTGTATGAAGGTCTTAGTAAGCACCTGACTATATGTTTAGACAATGACGGAAAATGTCTAGTCAGGTACCTGACGAAACCGAGTTTTAGCAGCCTGCCTAAGTAGTAGCGATAGTTATTAGGAATTCCGGCAGTATTCTATGAAAACCTTGAGAAGACCCTTTCGGTCCTCGGTCTGAAAAGGACCTTCAAGGAATTTTTATCGAATGAAGAGGGTTAAGACTAGAGTTACTATTGTCACAGCATAACATCATGATAATTCATCGCATAATAATAGTAATGAATGACTGTAAACGATAACTAAGACTAAACTCGGTAACACAATAAAGATGCTCAAAGCCGAAAGCTGTGGATGACCTGTCTTTAGTCATAAATGCAAAGTATTAAAAAAAGTCACAGAAGCAAGAATTTTCTATCCAGTGAAGGATAATAGCTCCCACATTGACTAAAGTCACATTCAAACTAGAAAAATGTACGGAATAAGTCATGAAGCACCATCTAATGAATTTGCCTTGAGATATTACCGACATGACGCCACTACACCTAGATATCTAACGAAGACTACGAGAAACACTAATACCCATGTCACAAGCACAGTCCTAGACTACTACAAGATGAACAGTATCGGGCTGGTTGTTTCAACTAGTCCGTAGTTGACGACTAGTTCTTCACACTTCGTTGTTATGCCTATGCATCATTATTGATACCCCGATATAATCTATGAAAGTTTATCATCTAAAAAATTATATACTCAAACAAGAGCATTGCGTTCACCTGTTACATAGTGTATGATGAGTTGTGAACACCAACCTTATATCCTCGATGAACTTTTATGTAGCTACTCGTATACAGCAAATCAACAATTATGGCTAACACTGTAATATCGCAACTGATGACTCTGGGCTACTGACATTATATCATAATTCACCACCCGAGGGTACACTGTTATATAGTAGTTGATGACCCAAGAGTATCCTCGTTATATAGTAGTTAATGACCTAATGATGCCCCCATTATATAGTATTTGGTGACCCTAGCATATACCTGTTATATTATAGTTAAGGATCCAAGGGTACCCCATTATATAGTACACGGTGGTCTAAGGATACCCTCGTTATACAGTAGTTGATGATTCAGGGGTAGCCCCGTTATATGGTAGTTGATGACCTATGAATAGTCATGTTACATAGCCCATAACTAGTTGTTGATACTTTTATGAATGTTTAGTAAGTTTTACGAATTTCTAACAGAAGATTACTTTTATAAGAAAAAGGGCACTTTAACTTTAAAAAGTTTAGAGTTAAAGTGCCACCCCTAGAAATGATTCCATCTCTAAAATATGTGGAAACCTCGGATTTAAATCTGAGTGTTATGTGTACTTCAAAAAGTAAAAACACCGAAGCAATTTCCGTTTAAGTATCTTTGCAATAGGTGATTTAGCCTTCTTGTTTCTTAATGTTTTATATACCATTTTGTAGCCCGTGAAATTCTCTATCGAATGGTATATGATAGCTGAGGTTTTGTTTGATTATGAGAGAAAAAAATGTTTTTACGAAAACCGGGATAGCTCAATGTTCGCATAGAACAGCATGGGAAATAATGACATTTTTGCGATAACTCAGGAATTTCTTAACAAATCATTCTCATCTTCGAACTCGATCGAAATATTGATGAGACGATTCTATGTGCAAAATTTCATCACAATTAGGCTACTCTTTGAAGAGTTATCGTGTAAACGGCCGGACACATTGACCGATTCTATAGTGTACTCACTTTTTGAGTACACAAAAACAAAATCAAAGTACTATTAACTATATTTACTTTTAATTTTTATTATTAGGATAAAATGGATTTTTTTGTTTTATCACATTTTTTTGGTTGGTGGTTAAAAGTAAATCATTAGTATTTTTTGTAAATTTTCTTTTGCAATCAAATAAATTTTTCTTTAGACTTTAATTATTCGTGACTATTGGCTTTGTATGGTAACATCAATAGGTTTTGAAATTCTTGAATATTCTCTTGAACATCAATTACCAAATTTTAGTGAATGTTGGTGGGATCATGTAAGTTATTAGAAAACTTTTTTTTTTTAACAAATATTTCATTCGAATTATTTTAGTGGATTCTTGATACAATTATTTGTAATGGTGGTGGAATTTATTTAGGTATGAAAACATGTGAATATTTAAAAATGAAACCATACAATTGGCGTGGAATGTGGACAATACCAACTGTTAGGTAAAACAAAAAAAAAGATTATCTTGTTTTTCTAAAAAAAAAAGTATCTGTGAATTTATTTTTATAGAGGTAAAATAATGCGTGTATTGGGTCAATTTACACCCCATGATTGGCTTGAATTTGATTGGCGTCCAACAGCATCTTTAAAACGTTGGCTTGCAATGTTATCTATAACATGTATTTTATTTCTTGTCGAATTAGGTACATTCTATTTAAAATTTATTCTATGGATTCCACCACCACATTTTTTATGTTTATTACGTTTATTATTTTTTTTACTTGCTGGTGGTGTTTCAATGCGTGAAGTGTTTGAATATTTGGATAATCGTGAATGTAAAAGATTTGGTCGACAATCATGGGTTATAACAGCTATTATAGTAACAGAAGTATTAATTGTATTAAAATTTGATTGGAACACTGTTACAAAACCATTACCATTTCATATTGTACTTGTTTGGACAGCAATTGCTGTTGGAATTGCTTTATGGACAATATATCATTTTTGGTTTAAAAGATTTATTCTTTGGGGACAGAGAAAAAATCTTCAAGTTGTTAAGAAGGACAAATGAAAATAAAACAAAAAATAAAGAACGATTCTTCACGTATTTTATTCTAAACTGTTTGTTTTCTTTCTAGTCACCTTCCTGATTCTGTTTTTTGTTCCTCTGGTTTTTTGGTGTGTCATTTTTGCTGACGATCAAAGAAAGATGTTTTGTCTGTGGTGTGAGAAATCAAAAACAGAAGATCAAATTAAGTTGTTTGTTGTTTTGATCTAATAAAAAGTAGAAGAAAAATCAATCTCTTTTTTTTTAAAGAAGGAATGATTGATTAGAACAATCGTTTGATGTCACAAATGATGAATAATAAACTGTTTACTCACTAGAGTGTGGTTGTGAGTGTGGATTCAACCTAGATGTGATTGAAATACAAAATGACCCACATCCCTTGCTGAGGGTTGCAAAGAAGCATAAAATACTGGAAGGACTGAATATTCAGTCGAGGGTAAAGCGACTTATGCAGACGTGAAAAACATCTTCAACGCGTTCAGATAGAAAAATGCAGAAAAAAATCGCTTTATGACTGATTCAAATGATCTATCAAAAAGCTGAACTGGTTAAAACGGGTTCCTTCGTGTATAAACCGGTTATAACATGTTCAGTAGTCAAAAATAACGACTTGATTTGTTTAAACATATGAATCGATTCATTTTTATATCCATTCACAAATATGAAATAGAACTAATGAACGATTGTCCATTAAAACTCGTTTATAATAACTATTTCTAAAAACAATGAGTAACAATGATTAGATCGAACATGATCCTTACAAATCCATAAGAAAAACATTGAAAGAGATATTGAAAAGAGAAGCCCTCAGTGTTCAGCGTATGTACAATCGATCATGCTCCATAATCTACGAAATTATCTGAAGACCATTGAGGCATGATTATTGAACATATTACAAACTATTATTGAAGCTTTTTGAAAACACTTGTAATGATATTCTATGATAAACACAAACATTTGAAATAATTTTTCCTGTTTGAAAAAATACGAATATTATTTCGTTCGAAGATATTTTATTATGAGGTGATAGAGCGGAATATTATTTTTATTATTCTCTAATATCGAACATAGGAAGAGACCACTCATTCTCACAAGACATTTATTCATTTCTCTTGGTGATCGCTTTGACTAATAACATCGATATGGGTGTGAGCGTGAATACGAGAACAACACCCGTGATAAGCATGAAGATTACTGTTGCAAAACAAGCAAGAACCAGTGCCAACACAAGACTTGATGCCTGATAACAACAGAAGTGTAGAATCTGCCGCAAAAATGAAAAATTTCCCAAAACGGGAAAAGTTTTTCGGAAAATTTCTCCACTTAAAAAGAAGAGAATAAAGTGTCGTTGTTTGAAGATGCATATTCATCAAAACAGAACATCAAAAGCGAGCTATCGGTAAGGTGTTAAAAACGATCGCGCTGTAAAAAAAACCAAAATCATTATGATTATAATCAATTATTATGCAAAGAAAACTTAATAAAATGATGTTATGAACATATAACAGCTACAATAAAGTTTGAATCATCTAAATCAATTAGAGCTCCTTCCACAATAGAAGACTATTACTTTATTCGAGTTTTTCAGATCACCCCTCTCGAAACTGTCTTCTAATATGAATATAGTCTTTGAGATGTTCTTTGAGAATCGATTTATCTAAGCAACGTGTTTTAAAGAGGTGAATTTTGGTTAAACCTTTGTGTAACTTTGGACAGCCTCTTGATTTTCAGGTAAAGTATTACTAAAAACTTTGAAAACTTCCAGTTTCAACACAAATCTGTAACAGAAATACTATGATATGTTGATCCGTCTGGATTATTTCCTAAACAGCAGTCTTCTATTGCGATAGAAAGGCTTCATAAAGAATCATGTGCAAATAACTTATTATAGTTAATAAATCAGGTAGATTGCAATATATTATTCACACATATAATCTATTATATTCAATTTCGTTGACTAGAGACCAATATAAATTGTTGCATATTCATGTAATTATTTTATTATATCCCGCCGTAAAATAATCTACTACCAACAAAGTTGATGCTATTTTGCCTTGATATGGATACTCGTTGATAATTTAAACCAGAAATGGTAACGTTAAAAAAGAGTAAATGACAAGAAACAACGCTGAAAGGACAATGGGTTAGGGAAAGGCAAAAGGCATTCAGAGACGAATGATGTGCAGGCAAATGAGGCAAAGACCTAGGTCTATAAATTAATAGTCAAAGAAAGAACAAATAAACTAGAGAAATCGTTTATGGAGTTTATGATTTCTCCATAGAGGAAGACATTCTTCGAAAAGTTTTCCGATCTCGACATTATCAAGAATTTCCCCAGAATCAAAAAATTTCCCCAAACACGCAGTCCTGCACACGGGTAGATTCTGTACCTCTAATTTTCCAACTGTCAGTTTTCTCGTTTAGAAAAAAATAGAGTTTTCCACGTAAATGAATGTTCTGACACTTCTTGTTAAAATAAAATTATTCAATGATTATTTTTTAAGGTGTTTCAAATGCAAAATTGACATCTCACTTTTGATGTTAAACCTATTTACATCCCATTCGATAGAGTTTTTCAACCTGATCAAGAATATTCAGGTCTGAATCTCGTTAGTGCAAGTTTGTGCCCAAAAACTCGAGAATTCCAAGAATCTCTTTCTTCCAAAAAAACAGCTGGTTTCTGTTTTAAATAGTGTTTTAAAAAGAATACTTAAGTCTGAAGCATTACAAAAGCTCGAATCTAGTTTTTTTCTTACTTAGCGTTGAAAACTGTATAGACGAAATCATATTTGAAAGTTCTAGTTTGAAAAAAAAATGCAATAATCAGATGAATCTGAGAGGTCACCAATCCTTTTCAACTTCATCTTAGAAACCAGAGATGCGCAAATACAAATACAATCTGTAGTGTCATAAATTCATGTACTACTATCAGACAATACCAATTCTCAAATTTTAGGTTTTTGATTCTGTACAAGATAATACTAGTAGAGTGTGTGGACATGTCGTTTTTTTTTTCTTTTCCTATACACACACATCGATATTCCACATCCTTCGAAATACAGCTTGTCTTCGTATTTGTGAAGCCTTCTAGACATCTATGCTGAAACCTTCAATGAGTTTTAAAATATAAAATTATAACAAAAAAAACAATTTCAAATGGTATAAACTTTCTTACACAAGAATCGAAAGAAATCATAGCATTTTGAAATTTAAAGTACAATTAAATCTTTCGATTTGTTCACTATAACATTAATTTTTATGGTATAAGAAATAAACTGAATATATACATAGGCAGTTTCGTTACATTCGAAATCTATTAAAAAATACAACAATAAAATCTGACAACACTTTTTGGAACCATTAGTAATTAAAAAGAATAGATTTGATTTATTTGTCTTGATTTTTATGAAATTTTTCATGTTGAAAAATAAAATAATGAGTCAATAGATATATTCAAAGAATCTATTTTAAATAAAAACAAAGAGGATTCTGGTCAATGAATCATTCATTCGATAATTAACTTCTTTTTAACATATCAAAAATCGTTAAAATTTATTCGTTGTGAAAAATATCCGTCAAATACGAAAAACAAAAATAAATCATCTTCTAGATATTCATCCAATCCACGTGATATCATTATATATATATACGCGAACAAAAAACAAAAATCGAATCATCGACTGAAGTGACTAGTTCATTTATTCATTTTAAAATCATTGTTTGTTAAACAATAGTAATTGTTTTTTATTTACCAACAAAAGAAATGACTGAATCAATAATAACTATTTCACGTAAGTAATAATTAATTATGAAATTCAATTCTTTGATTTTTTTTTAATCAATAAATTTTTTAGCTAAAACATCACCATATCGTTCTCAAATTCAAACTCGTATTGCATCACCAGGTTCATTATCATCTGTTAATTTTTATGTTTCACCATTAACTAATCAAAATATTGATCATCATTTAGTATCAAATGAAAAATTACAATTAAGAAAATTAAATGATCAATTTTTAACATATATTGAACGTGTTCGATTATTTGAAACATATAATAATTGTTTAAATATACATTGTGAAAATATTAATAATGCACAAGAACGTATAAAAACTAAATTAGATTTACTTAAACAAGAATTTCATGAATATCAATATGAAAAATTAAATCAAGAAAAAAAAGATCTTGAATTAGAAACTGAATATATTAATAATATTGAAAAACAAGTTGAAGAATATAAAAATAAAAAAATATTTCTTCAAAATGAACATGAATTATATAGAAAACAGATTATTAATTTACAACAACAATCTATTGATTTACAAGTATGTATTGTTATTTCAAATTAAACCTAAATTTTAAACAAACTAGAAATTTATCAAAATGAGAATGTCGTTCTGATATGTTTTTTTTTTTTTTGAAAGTTAAATATGAATCTATAAAGTGTAATATATTGTTATTCATTACTTAACACGTATGAAGACTAAATTTATAAGTATATCAGAGTAAAAATATTTCGTTACTATACTAATGCAGTTCTGATAGTGAATCTAAAAAAACTATTCTTCATAATCATTTCGATTATAAACCCTTTAGTATCAGAAAAAATAGGGTTCCATGAATTTCGGCCCGGTCCGAAATTCCGGTGATTTTTTTGGGTCGGGCCGAAATTCCTGGTGGACTTTCGGCCCATGACTTCATTGACCCTAAAATAAAAAACCTAATTTTTCAAAACTAGTTGCTAGACAACGTAGTGCTGAGCAAGACGTCATAGTGCTCAGCGATACGTCGTAGTGCTGAGCAGGACGTCATAGTGCTCAGTGATATGTCGTAGTGCTGAGCAGGACGTCATAGTGCTCAGCGATGTCTTAGTGCTGAGCAGTATGACGTAGTGCTCAGCGATATGTCGTAGTGCTGAGCAAGACGTCATAGTGCTGAGCAGAGGGTATGGGGTGTGGATGTCTCTTCCTTTAACACCCACACTATCCCACACCTCACCCACAGTCACACACACACATCTACGCCATAATGCTGAAGATTATGACGCCCTGCTCAGCGCTATGACGTTCTGCTCAGCGCTACGTCATATCACTGAGCACTGGCGTTCTGCTCAGCATTGCGTCATATGGCTGAGCACTATGGCGTTTTGCTCAGCATTGCGTCATATCGCTGAGCACTATGGCGTCCTACTCAGCACTACTATGCCTAGCAACTAATTTTAAAAATTTAGGTTTTTTATTTTAGGGCCAATGAGATCATGGGCCGAAATTCATTGTAGACTTTCGGACCGGGCCGAAATTCTGATCTCCCAAAAAATAAATTAAATATTTCTTTTGAATTTTAGTCTAAAACAGAAAAATTACGTTTTGATTATGAAAATGTAAATGATGATAGTAATCATTATCGAAAACAAATTTCTTATTATCAATTACTTAAATCATCAATTCTCGATGAAATAACTCATCAACATGATATACATCAACGTAGACAATTAGAAATTGATGATTTAAAAATACAAAAACAATTATCTATACAAGCATATGAAGCTGATACTCAAGTTTGATTTATAAAATTTTTATTTGTTTTTTACTTTTTTGCATATTTTCTTTTTTAGGCAATTGAAATTCAAAATGATAATTATTTATATGATTTAACAACACATTTTCGTTTAGATGGAAATGAAAAAAATATTTTAACACAAATGTTAAACGAAATTCGTGAAGAATATAAAATGAAAGATACTGAAATGCGTGAAGAGCTTCATCGAAAATGTATATTTCAAAAGATTTTTCTTTTTTTTTTTTAAAATTTTGTAAAAACTTTGGTTTTATTTTTATAAGATTTATATGAATATAATCAACATATGAAAAAACATATTGATCAAAACTTAATTGAAACAAATCGAGAATATATCGAACGACATCATTTATCTAATGAATTAAATTCTTTAAATGATAATCGATTATTATTACGTCAAAAATTAACTTTAATACAAGAACAATATAAACAATTGGAAATTAATTTTCAACGAGAAATCATACGACAAAAAGATATGAATGAAAAATATGATCATGAAATAAATAAATTAAGTTTATCTGTTCAAGATTATGTAAGTTAAAAGAATTCATTTAAAACAAGATCTCAAATATATTGTTCAAGTATATATAAGTAGAAATTTGTACTTTCATTTCATAGATAGAATAAAACAATCTCTTTGTATTTTATCATAACAGCTATATGATATTTCATATTTATGCTAACAAAAGTTTTTTTTTTAGGAAAATCTTCTTAGTAATAATTCATTAATTCGTCAAGCAACAATTGAAGATGAAGTTAATAAATATCGACAATTACTTGAAGGTTCAGATCAACAAATAGGTCTTCGACAATTAATTCATATGTCAAATACAATTGATCGTTGTTCATCTATTAATCATTCAACTATTTCTTCAATTAATAAATCTGAACCAGCATCAACAATTTTACTTCTTAAATCTCGTACTCGTCAAAATTCCACAAGTGAAACTTCATATGTAACAGCACCTATATCAACAACAACAACAACAATAACAAATCAACAATATCTTACTTTAGATACAGTTAATGAAAAATTATTTCAAAATGATTATGATACTGATAATGATCAATCACAAACAATTCAATATATATCTGGACGTAACAGTCGATTAATAAGTGAAACAGATCTAACAACAACAGTAATAAATCAAGAATCATTACCATCGACTGATTTTATTAAACAGAATGAAACAATCCATGAAATACCTATTGAAACATCTCATACAGATGGTAAGTTTATTATTAGAAATTTTAGTCTTGTTCAAAACTAGCTACTCATTCACAAGAAGCCCTACTTTTGTCCAGAACTTTAATAAAATATCAATGTTTTTTTTTTGTTTTTTATTACCTAATAGATCCAATAAATCAAACATTACCATTCATACCGATGAATGTAGTATCTCATGCTGATATAGATGAAAATAAAACTATTATATCTGATGAACAACAATCTCCATTAATATCTACATTGGAAATACGAGAAGAATCAGTAAAAACAACTATCGAACCAAATATTTTAACATCATCAGAAATACTTATTCCAATTACTATTGATATTGATTCAATAATAACTGAAGAATTAAATGAAGCAAAAATTGTATGTCAATTTTTTAATCATTCCTTTTTTGAATATATTCATCTCAATGATTATAATTTAGATATCTCCATCAACATTAGATACGTCTATTAATGAACAATCAAAATCAATTGTATCACCTATACCTATATCGAATCAACTTGAAACTGAATCAACTATTGCTGAAGTACCAGTATCAACATTACCAGCAGTAAATCCATTGAGTAAATTAATTTCAACAATGTTACCTAATGCAACGCCATTTATACCAAATTCAAATGTTATTAATAATCAATCAGTTAAACCTTCACCAATACCAATATCGTCTATGAATAATGATGCACCGCCTTTTATTCCAACTCAACATCAACATGGAACTAATCAACAATATATGAATAATACTGGTGTTGGACATTGGAATGGAGGTAGTACACGAGGTGGTGGTGGTACAGGAGGAAATAATCGTCGTGGACAAAATGCTGTAAGTTTTCTTTTAAAAATGAAATAAAATAAAATATTCTTGATAGGGTGGTGGTTATCATCATGGTGGTGGAAATCAACGATCTGGAGGTTAGTTCAAATTTATATTTTCTTATTCATATATTTATTTTATTTATAGGTGGTGGTAATTGGCAACAAGGTGGTGGTGGTGGTGGTGGTCATCATAAACAACGTCGTGGACCAAAATAATATTTTTAAAATATTTTTTTTCATTGTTTAACTGTTATATTCTAGATTAATTGTATGTTTTCTTTTTCTTCATTCTCTCAGATCTTTAACATTATCTATATATATGTATAAGTGTGTGTGCTTTGTTTTTGAGTTATGCTCTTATTCAGATGAATGAAAATAAATAACAATTGAAATAATTCGATAAAAACAAGTCTGTTTTTTGTAAGAAATCAATTCTATTCAAGAGCTTATACAAAAAAAATTAAACGACAGAAAACAAAAATATTTAAAAAGAACGCGCTTTGATGCTTTTATATTTCATAATTAAATGTTGAATACAACTTTTTATTTTTAATATTTTATTTTATCTTTTTAATCAATAGGATTATATGCTCTCATAAATATGTTTGGTGGTGATATTGATCATCACCAACAACGGAATGAATATCATCTATGAGAATATGTTCCGATCCGCTGGATACGGTTCGATCTACTGGATCGAACCAACAATGGTGTATTCCATTACCAGCTTATTATACCACAATTATTCCATATGTACCTGCTAATACTGAATACGATGGTCAACGCTTATCAAATATCACTGAATTTTGTTCTGATATTAGTAATTATAATAGGTTGAATATCATAGATTCATCATTATGTGCTAAGAGTAAATTGATTCAACGTATTCGACATAAAATTGATCTTTATCAAACACCATCATCCAATGATGCATGTCAGATTCTTCAACACCTAACAGATATTGTAAAAAAACATGTACCAGATTTTGTTTTTAAAGAAACAACTGATAGCAAGTCAAAAATTAGTCAATTAGAATCAAGTAGTTAAATAAATTGTTTTTTTTTTACTTTTGTGAATAATGACAAGTTTTTGATGAAGAGAAAATCAAATGTAATTTTTTCAGATATTCAACAAGATGTATTGCCAATATCTAATAGTAAGAAATCAAACTCAAGAAGTCCTTCATTTCTACAACGAATTAGCAACAGAAAATCTACAAATAAATTTTCATTATCGAAAGATTCTTCATTTCATTCGACAAACTTATCGACTGAAGGTAATCAAATGGTTAATGCCGACAGCAAAGGTAGAAGTGGTAGAAAAACGAATGGTTGTCATCAACACATTTATTCATAGTATTCGATTCGAGTCCAAGCAATCATCATGATCGAACATCAATAGTGACCAGTATTCCTGCTCCTTCGCTTTATCCAACATCACACGCCTCGAAACAACAAAGCACTAGCAATCGTAAGTAGTTTCCTATGTTGTAAACAACGTTCTTCGACATTACGATCGAAGTATTTGTTTATTTGTTTTTTTAATATAAAATTACGACATGCAATAGATAATATAGTAACAAACAGTAATGATCAAGATAATTCAACAATGAATTTTCCAACTCCAAATGTTAGTACTCATCATCTTAGTAGTGATCGTATTACAAGTGCAATGGATTTGAGAAGTAGTCAATATCTGTCACCATCTAACCAACAACAACGAACTAATAAAAAGTCATCAGAAAAACAAACGTTACAGACACAATCGTTGACACCAAACTCTTTACAAAGATTACCATTAATTAATAGTCAATATAACAATCAAGTTCAACATACATTAATAGACAAAACTGAAAAACGAAATAACTGGATTAATAAGTAGGTAAAATATTTTATAAAAACAAATAACGATGTAAACAAATACTTATGATCCAGCAAAGAGGAACAAACTGATTTCTAGTTCCTAAAAATTGTTAACAGTTCTAGTTTTCTGTGTGTTTTTTTTTATAGATTTCATTGTTAGCCTTTCTACACATCTTTCAGCCATCTTTGATTTACATTTGCTTTCTTTTGAAAAAAAAGTAAACAAAGAGTTTGCTTTTAAAGTTCTCAGTGTGCAAATCTACGGACATTATTGATAATTTAAACGTCAGAAAATAATTTATTGTCATTTTCTTCAAATTTTCATAGATTTCGATATGTTCCAAATCATATTGGAACAAAAATCTCACCATCTTCATTAAGTTAATGTCAACAAATAATAGAAAAAAAAGTATTTTATGTTTTTTATTATCTGTATGTATCTTTGAGCTATCTATTTATTCGTAGTAATAGGCATTTTTAAAATATCAGTATTTTCTGAAATTGAGAATAATCTGTATTCATATTGATAGCCTAAAATTAATACTTAATGTCAATGTCGACGATAAAAGTGTTAGTATCTTCAGAGTTAATATGTCCTTGGCTAGTCTTTTATAGAACATCGTTCATTTCTTCTTGACATGCAATAGTTTCACGATCTCCCACGTATCAAATATGTTAAGTATACCAGATCAATGCATTAAAATGAATAGAAATGTCCTTTGGGGTGGGAAGTGTTTTGAGCACCAAAAAAGGGTGAAATGAGCACCAAATTTATTTATATATGAAATAAGAAAATAAATAATGTCATCACACAAAACAACATGAAAAAAACAAAATTAAAAATTTGATATTGTTTGCTTGATATATTTTTGCTATGGTAATTTTTACTTTTTTTTACACATCTTTTATATACAAATCATTACTCCAATTAATTAGATTATTTAAGAATTGTCATTGAATTAATGAATATGAGTAGAGCTTATCACAGTTTAATAGCAAAGTGCCTATGAACTGCAATCTTAATGCGTTTAAAGCTTAATTGATACATTTTGTACTGTTCTGTTCATTTGATGCTCATTTCACCTTTTCTTGGTGCTCAAAACACATTTCTTTCTGTTCTTTGTATCCAAGAAAATTTATCTCAATACATGTCCAATCTCGGCAAACAATCAGCATTGAATGTGGCATATAATATTCATAAATAAATCATCTTTTGCATTTGGCATAGCTTCCTTTCTCTAAATGCAATATTTAAATGCTGAGAGTTTATGGTCCTATATCTTCTGTGTGCAATAAATTATAAGAATTATCAAGCGATACCTTCCATTATAAATGATATTCTTTCCCCCCATGATTGACTTCGTATTATATTGACGTTTTATGGACGTTTTGGTGAGAATAAGATTGAGACTAAATTCATAATTATCAGCATTGAATTGAAAACTTACCGAATTATAAATTAATGAGTATGTCGAGTTACCAAAACTTATACTTTGTTAATGGAACACTATCTAAAGACTTCTTCGGTTATCCTTAATGAGTTAATCACGTTTCTTTCTTATTTTCAAATTCCATAAGATTATATCAGTTAAAAGTTCAATTTCCCAAATGTTGGCATGCACACACAAAAGTATCCTGTATTATTAATATCTTATAGTTCAAATTAGTAGATAATCTTCGTCATGAAAAATCTTCTCTTCGATTAAAATATTGAAATAAACTGAAAGTATTTGCTGATCTTGACAAAAGTATCTGTTTTTTTTTTTGGTTAGTTATATGTGAGAAATAACATGTAAAACGATAAATACATAAGACAGCAATGTCTTTTACGAAGAAAACTGAGTGACTATTGATTATGGATGACACTTAATACTGTTCAATAATATGTTCCTTAATTCAAATGAAAGAACATACTTTTAGCTATAATAATTTCTAAGAAATACTGCTAATTTCTGTTATTTGAAATCAGTATGTTTCACGTTGTGATTCTCATAAAACATCGTTTGTTTTTTTTTGAATGTATAGATTGAAAAAAAAACTATCAAATAAACACTTAAATACCAGATCTTTCGATAACGTACCACTGGAAAATATTTCTCATGTAAATGTAAATGATCAAAACAAAATCTATGTTAATCATTTAAATATGAGAGAAGCAATGGCTGCTTTAGAAGAAGATCTTACTAAAGAAGCATTTCAAGCATTAATTAATAAAAAAAAAGATTCTCAACAGAATGGTTTCATGCGAATACTAACAGGACCTTCACGATGTTGTCGTTCATATCGTACTCAACGACGTTTAGCAACAGTTGTTCAACGTTCAATTGATATTGCTATAAAAGATATACCAATGTCTCCAATAAATCATAACATGCAATTATTTAATTATCAAAAAAGTACGAATCAAACTAGTGTACATCAGAATGACTCAGTTATCAATTCAAAAAAACATAGTTACAATATCAATGCTAGGTTATCATTAATACCTGTAAACAATAATTGTCTAGCAAAAAACTTTCAAAAGAATTTACCATTTAAACTATACCAATATAAAAGAAGGATCTGATTGTATTTGTTATATATTTTCTACTAGTGTAAATTGTCATCAATTTTTATGATCGCTATATCATTACAAATGACCACTATAATCAACAATTAGAACCAGTTGTTTGTATCGGCATGTTTAAATATTTATATGTACCTTGTTTTAACGAAAAAGTATACTTATTGTCGTTCCAGTAGTGAGAAAGAAAACTATCAGTCTTTCGTAAATGCCTTCATTGATATTACAACAAATTCATACATTTTGTTAGACAGTTGTATTTTTTTTTCTGTACTTATGATATTGACTTTGCAAAAACTTGAACAAAGAAGACAGTAGAAGAGTGTGTACAGCTCTTTTTTCATAAAAAAGAATTGTAAATAAATACTGCCTTCAATTATAGACATTCAGTTCAATACGTATTGTATTCTTTCATGGATTCGAAAAAAAAGAAATATAGAATGTCTTGTGCATCTTTTTCTGACTTAACGTTCTATAGTAACGTGAAAAGACAAAATAAGCTTTATTCAAAACGAACTGAGGCAATCAAGTATATGTGTAGGAAAAGAATTCACACATACATGAATATGTTTATGTTATTTTATATCAACATAAAACGTTACATTATCATATTGACATAAATTTCAATAACAGAAAGCTGTGTTGATTAACAGTTCTCTTAGGAAAAAGTAAAAACTTGGAACACTCATCTATTATTAATTAAAAAAATCAGCTCAATACCTTCGAGTATAGTGAAGATATTTCAAGGGAAAGAAAGCAAAACTTTCGCACTCCATCGTACTCCCAGAATATTTCAAATGTATTGAGCTGTATTGCTCAACAGACTTCTATGAAATAAATTCAGATTAATTTGTTCATGACAGACATTAATAGTAGGCTCAAAATAGCAAAACAATTCTATATGATAGATTTGATATACTCTTAGAGTATGCTAAAGTATGGATGATGTATGGAGTTTTTGCTTTTTCCTCCTTAAGATATTCAAATATTTTTATTATAAAGATGTTTATAGTTCACTCTATATAAGTCTTTGTGGTGAAATTAATTGATCCTCCAGAGCTATAAGGAAATTTGTAAACCAAATATTGAGGATCAAGACATATGTAACATAGATATAATTATGCACAGTCTCTTAACGTAAAAAATTATAGATAAACTAAGAACTGCAAATATTCTTTACAAAATAAATTTTAATGTTTTTTTTTTAAATTGATTGAATGTTTGTCAGAAATCGATGTGCAACTCTTAACTATCTATTAATCATAAGATCCTGATGACGGACATCTGTTTTTTTTTTGTATAGATCCTTGAATTGGTAAATATTTCTATGTCTGATAATCAGTTGAACAAAACTAAAAATAGAAAGTTAAAATAAGATTAAAGTACGATAAATTTATCAGTGTCCTTCGAAAGTACAATCATTATTGTTTTTAATAGCGTGCAGGTGGCTCATTTACGACCGACAAAGTTACTGTCAGATACATCCTGGCATGTTTTCTCAATGATGTTGATTCGTTGCAAAGCATTTTCTTTTCCTTTTCTTTTTTTTTTCCTTCTTCTTATGCTTTGTTTAATCAGTCAGACATATACATTTAAATAAACGACGTGAAGAACTAGCATATTATAACAGGATCTTAACTAAAACAAGATGATGATTTTAAATATTAACAATGCTGTTTATTTGTTCTTCTATCTTCTTGTCGTTTTATTTTTATCATCAGTTAATTCAATACCTTTACAACCCAAACAAGCTGTAACATTAGTACCGACATCCACTCAATTTAAACGATTGGTTTCACATTGTTATATTCATGATTATGCAGCATGGTTAGAACGACAACAAGAATTAATAATGTGGCTTAATTTGGCTAAATTACTCAAACTACCAATTGAAGAAAGTAAAATAATACAAGAAGAATTGGAACAAATTCGACTTCAATACGAATGTTTACGTGTTATTGAACGTTTACCTCTTTCTGTGGGACCTGGCTAAATATATTGATTTAAAAAGAAGAAAAACGAATGTTTAAAATTATTAAAGATTTTAATAAAATTACAAAACTTATAGTTGTTGCATATTAGTAGATAAATAAATTCTTTTATGTTTCAACTTAAGAATATATGATAACATACAAAACGAAGATTTCATCTAATTTTGAATTGATTTAGACGAATCTTGCATCCAATTATTGAATTGAGAGTAAATTGATGTTAAAAGCCCATCAATGCCGGATTCGAATTCATCTTAATGAAGTACAAGGAAGAAATGACATCTCAATAGAATTATCAATGGATGAATTAACTCAAGATTCTGAGTGGTTACAGAGAGTTATCTATTGACACTAATATCTTTTTTATAATCTGAATTTGATAGAGAAGTGTTTTAGCTTTCGAATGACGTACATTGCTGATAGAAAGTTATTGTTCTGATGTGTGGAAAGAAAAAGAAAAAACTTTTAGGTATATCCGGTTCAAGTACACTCTACCCAGACATATTTTGTTCGAATATTCTCTCAATCGAATAAAATAAATAGTATTTTTTACTGATCAAAATATGTCATTCGAAAGTTAAAATACTGTTCTATCGAGCTCCAATTACAAAAAAGGATCTTTGTCTTGATGTAAAATTTTTATTTCATATTTATTCATATCTGGCAAAGTACTCAATGTAGAACATTACTTGTGTATAAAACTACCTATAAATTTGCGGATTCAAACTTCATAAATCACCTTATGACTTTGTTAATTTGAATTTGATTGCTTTCACTCAATTTGATGCACATCAGTCCTAGTTGACTGTATACTGATTCGGCTCAGTTGTTCACTTATAGTAAAGTACTGATGTGAACTACGATATTGAATTAATTCATTATTCTTGTAATATTATTACGTGTTCAATCGTTACTATACATTCAAATTATAAATCAATTTGCTATATATTAAATACAATTTTCCACAACACTAACTCGACAACAGTTTTCTTACGTTATCATCTTTTTGACTACTGCCTTCCACTATTTACAACTGTTCATCTTAATCAATGTTTTTTTTTTTGTCTTTTGCAACGGAGACTGCTTCTTATTTAACTATTATTCAAGTTAGAAAAGAAATTTGTTATTAATTGAAAATATAATCAAATATATATGATGAACTTTATATAAGTAATGACAAAATATAATTGATCACGGGAATTATACAACGCATAAAAACTCATTTAGTATCTACTCTATTCTAGTCATATATCATATTAACAACAGCTTTCATGACTTATTTTTTCTTTATTCTTCAATGAATTTCGGTATATTTTGTTGTTTCGCAATTTATTAGAACTTGAGTGTGGGTGTCTTATATATTAAAATTGCGGAGAGATAACAAATGCAGAATAGATTCGGTAAGCTATAATTATTCGGTATTATGTGATAGGATTATTAATAGCAATGATAAGTGGAATCTTTTTATGGCATACTATTGAACTCTAATCACTGAGCCATTCATTATTGATAATTAGTTGTAAAAATTTTAGAACAGTAATTATTGGTATAAATCGACTCTGTTATGTTTAGAATATATCCGCTGGAAAAAGAATACATCCGATGAGGTATTATTTGATATTGAGGAGTTTGCATGATAATAACTGGAATAGAATAATTTTAGATAAAGCTAGTAATAAAACATAATACTTCCATAATATACGGCATAGACAAAAAAAAATATTCCGGAACATTGAAAAAATCCACTCAATCCCAAAAGCATAAGGCTTCGTAACTCTTCGCTTGTTGAAATTTTAACATCAATTTACCTCGCAATCCGATATTGGATGCTTAAGTTTATATATATAACTTAGTTATTTTAAGATGGTTTATTTTGTAAGATATTGACAAAACATACATGAATTTAACTAACAGTAATATTGTAAAATCGATAAAAAAGAGAAACATGCTACCAAGTATTAAAATAACAAAAAACATTGTTAGTGATTAAGTGGAGATATAATAGAATTTTTTTAAATCCTTTTCCAATCACTTCGTTACTGAATCATTGCACAAGAAAAATCTTTATAATACTGTAGAATATATACAAAACCAAAAACATTGCAACGTGATAATGTTATTAACTTTTTCTTGCCACATCTCGAATTCATTTCACTACCACCCTCATATTGAATTGCCTCTCTTGTGGTGTTTATTTCATGTTAGGAACAAGCTAGGGGCAAATCCTTGACAGTCGTTATTTTTTTGTTCAAAAATTCACCAGAAAAAAGAAATAATCAATGTTAGAAAAGAAATCAGACTCATACAAGAAGACTTCACACTGATTGACTGTTTTTTCTAACCATGCTTTTTTTTTTTACTTTAAAGAAAAAAGAAAGACTGGCAATCGACAACGATAAAAATTCTCTTCCCTTGTCTGTAAATAAGAAAAAAATTGCACTGTTCTTTTGTTTCGTTCTCACACAACAAAAAACATCCACATGTATACAATGCTTATAAAACATAAATATAACAATGATTTCATATCTTGAAGATTTACCTGATGAACTGCTGCTTGATATATTTTCTTATTTATCTCCTATTGATTTATTTGTTTCATTTTCCTATATAAATAATCGTTTTAATTCAATTTTATGTGATAAATCAATACAATTTGGTATACAAATAACAAATAATAATTATAATAAAATCAATTCTTTTGCTGATTATTTTACTCATATATACATATGTAATGATAATGATATTGATATTCGTCAATTTAATAATGTACGTTCATTAACACTTGGTCCATATCCAAAACCTACAGATGAATTATTAAATCAACTTGTTGATCAACCTCAACAATATTTTCCTTATCTTACTCAATTAATTGTTTATCAACCATTATCAACATGGTATTCTCCACCATCGATTCGTCTTTGGACACAATTATTTACAAATCAATTTTCTTCTCGATTAAAACATTGTTCATTACCTGGTCGTATATTTGCATTACCAACGACATATTTTTATTGTCCTTCACTTTGTAGTCTTTCAATTGGTGGTTGTTCACTACGAGATTTACCTATATTATTATCAACTTTACCTAATTTAAAATTTCTTGAAACAGATCTGTGGGGTATAGCTGATATAAAAAATCAATCATCTTATCATCATTCTAATCTTTCACATTTATCTATTAAATTTAATCAAGAAACAATTGTTTTAGAAGAACTTTGTTGTCTTTTATCATATGTTCCATATATAAAAATATTTACAATTGAAGGAACACAAAAACATGATATATTTAATATTGATTATTGGTATAATGTATTCATTAGTCAATTTGAATATTTAAAAAAATTTTATTGTACTATTCGTCTTAGTGATAGTATTCAAAATAATAAAATTGATATTAATTATATAAGAAAATATAATAAATTATTTTCTCAAATGAAATTATATCGTCAAAATGATAGTCTTTTTATTTCTAATAAATGAATTAACATTTTTAAAAATTATTAACTAGATTTTTTATTTCAAGCATTTCTAATGAATAATTATGTTTATATATTGATATAATAAGAAGCTTATAATTACATATTTTAATTTTCTATATCATGAAAGAATTCCAGGCATTATATTGATGTTATGATTCAAAATATTTATTTACGTTTTTTTGAACTTTTCCATTTCCGTTGCTACTGTGTGTCATACAGTGTATAGCTTTTTTTTGTTTTGTAAATTAATAAATTCAATTTTAATTTATTTTGTCATTTCGAGGTTTCATTGTTGAAAGAAAATAGTTTGTTAGGTTTATTCTCAATAGATAATATAAATTTCATCTCACGTTATAATCAATTTATGTCAGAAAATGAAATGTAAAAAGGTTATAAGAGATAAAATATGCATTGTTAATGGTTATGATTACCTCGAAAAAAAAAGCGACGTGCTTCTCATACTTAATGCATTGAAATGTACAGAAAGAAAAATGATAAACATAACTAAGAAGAGTATTCATCGTTTATCATTCAAAAAAAGACTTACATATTACAAAAGAAAAGAGAAAAAATGGAATGGACCTCGAATTTAATTTCAGAAATTTATAAATATCTCAATCATCGTGATGATACAGGTATTGATCGTCTTAATCGTTTATATACAGTAGCACTTCTATCAGCATTTGTTACATTAATTTCTTCTCAACAATACATTGTTGGTGGACGTATTGTTTGTTGGATACCAAAAGAATTTACTGATGCACATAAAGCATATGCATATGATATTTGTTGGTTAGGTCATAGAAATTATTATATATCAGAAAATACTACTAGATTAGATAATCCGTCATCTCCAAGAACTCATCCATTTTTAATTTATCCATGGCTTCCAATAATTCTAATTGGTATGACAGTAAGTTTTACTTTACCATATCTACTTATTTGGCATGGATTATCAACAAGATCAGGTATTGATATAAAACGATTAATAGAATTAAATGATCATGATGCATCATCACGATCAATTCATTTTATATTATTCAAAAAATATTCAATGAAAAGTAATGGAGGAATTTATACAATAAGTATATATTTACTAATGAAAATTTCTTACATTATAATTTTATTTGGTCAAATTATTCTTCTAAATAAATTATTAATAGGAGAATATCTTACAATTAGTATTGAAAAAATTTTAAAAATTTTATCAGTTAAATATGATATGTGGTCATCAGTAAGTTATTTATTTTTTTTTTTTTTTGAAATTATTATATTTTAATTTCTCAAGGAATATTTACCAATTGAAACAATGTGTGGTAAGTTTAATAATACAAGAATAAAATAGAAATTAATTTTTTTGTTTATTTAGATTTTATGATTCGAACACTAGGTATGATTATTGAATATTTTCTTTCTATTTTATGTGAATAAATACATTTGATAACAAAAAATAGGTCAAAATAATAATTGGTATACAATACAATGTATTTTACCATTTAATTTATTTACTAAACGAATATTTGCTTTAATAATCATATGGTTTACTATATTATTAATTTTAAATATAATTGATTTCGTATATATTTGGTTATGGAGACGATTATGGTTAAGTTCACATAGATATGATTATATTTTTAATTTATATGATTTATATGAAACATATCTTCGTATGTGTAAATTAATGATAAGAATTAAAATAAAATCTTCTCATTATTTTTTAGAAAAAAATAGAAATAATCATATGATACAATTAAAAATTCATAATTCTATACTTCGTCAAGAGTTTGCCTATAATTATTTAAAAATGTAAGAATGAGTTTCGAAGATAATAATGAATTTGTCTCTATCGTTCTTTTTTTTCTTTATAGAGATGGTTATTTATTACTTAAACTCTTACATGCTAATTCATCAGATATAAATATAAGTTATCTTGTTGCTAATCTTTTTAATCAATTTTTACGTGCAAAAACTGAACAATCTAGAATAATTAAAAGACATGATAATAATACTTTTGTATAATTATAAGAAATAACAATGGAAATTTTTTTTAGATTGTTTTTTTTTTATAATAGATGTACCGAAAGTTTTAGCAATATGACTTTGTTAGTAAAAATTGTATCAGCAAAAGGTTCCTATCAAATGATGCAGCATATTATTTTCTAGCCACTTCTTGGATTTTTGTTTAAAACAACTATATTCAGAGACAAAAGAAATTTTCCATAAAACTCTGCAAAAAACTGAACTCGATCTAGTGGCAAATGGTATTTCTAAGATATTCGTTGGAAAATGAGTAACCAATAAAGAATATTTCGCTTGTCTCAATACTGTTAAAATACTTCGTAATTACACAAAACTGATGGAGCCTTTGAAACATTGTTGAGCACAAAATACTAAATATTCGTTTCTATAAAAAGAATATAAGACTAAAAGTAGCTTATAAATAAATGCGGAAACTTCGGACTTAAATCCGAGAGTTATGTGTACTTCAAAAAGTGAATCATACAAATCAATTATCCTAGACTGTCTGAATATCAAAATTATACTGTGAAATCTACCATTTAATATGTTGATTTCTATTGTGCGTTGCCAAATCAATAGGATATGGGACCGAATACAGCTCAAGTTTGAACTCTTTCTCTTCATTTACCCTAAGAAAGTCGTTTTTTCTATAACTTCATTTCTACTGGTCACTGCACAACTAATAGTATTTCAATGAAAGTGCAGTACACATTTGAGTTCTTCATGTCTGAAAACCTCGAAGTGTCATCAATGTGATCGGAAGATAAAGCTCTATTTGTGAATCAATTAGATCGTGGATCAAAATATAACCTAGTTCTCTTTAATTATTCTTGTCATAGGTAAATCAACCTTCTTGTTTCTTTATGTTCTATATATCATTTTGTAGTTCTTGAAGTTCTCTATCGAATGATATAAAATAGTTGGGGTTTTAATTGACTATGATAGGAAAAGTCTTTTACGAAAGTTACGATGGGTCCATTTTTCCACAGAAAGCTGTAGGGAAACATGGGTATTTTTGCAATAACTCAGGAACGACTCGGCCGGTCCTTCTCATCTTCGAATTCGATCGAGATATTGTCAAGACTAAACTGTGTAGAAAGTTTCATCGCAGTCTAACTCTGCTGTCAAAAGTTATCGTGTAAACAGCCAACCGAACGGACGGACACACTGACTATTCTATAGTGTACTCACTTTTTGAGTACACAAAACTATAATTCGGTTCAAAACTAATATCAGATTCAGAATCAGCGTTAAAAACTGAGTCGATTTATGCATTTTGTGAAAAATTATGAGCAAAAAATTTTTTTTCGAAAAATCCCTATACCCCCTCAGGGATGGTCTAGTCAAAAATCACAATTTTTTCGATGACTCAGCCATTTCTTGACGGATCCTTTTCATCTTTGAAGTCAACCGAGATATTGTCAAGACTGAACTGTGTAGAAAATTTCATCGCGATTTGACTCTCCTTCCAAAAGTTATCGTGTAAACAGACGGCCGGACACATTGATCGATTCTAGAGTGTACTCACTTTTTGAGTACACAAAAATACAAAGTGAAACTATCTGTAACTTATTGTTGTTGCTTTTTTTGTTTTAAATGAAAATTTTCTTTCTCTAGAAACAACAATTGAAGCAAACGGGAATGTCAAAAAGGAAGAAATTTTTCTTTTTCATAACTTTCTCTTATTTGTCGAATTTTGAAGATCTATTTAATGAACTTCTCTATGAAATATTTGGATATGTTATAATTTATATGCAGCTTTTTACAATCAGAATATACGATTTTGACATCTAATTTATAATTCAAGTTTCCCAATGAAAATAAATCTTTCATTCATATCCAAATCAAAATCAAATTTTGAACATTTTAATAATGACTGTATTCTATCCAATAGGCATCGAGTTACTTCCTTTCGCGTATCAAATCCTATGTTTTATGATTTAAACGTTTCTCTGACTTGCATAATATTGAAATTTTTTCAACTTAAAAGACTTTTTTTTTTAATCAAATTGAATCGACATAAATGAAAAAACTTCTTCGTCAATTAGTTTCTCTACCATTTCTGACTTCATTAACTATCTTTTTGGTCAATCGTATTAAAAATATCAACATATTGTATCTTCAAATATTTAATCTACCTGTATTAATATATTGTCAGTTCTCATTGAATAATGGCTTGTCAAAAGAATTATTACCAATTGCTACTAATCAATACAGTTCAATCGAACATCTCGTTATCAAAAATATTATAACCATCAATCAACTGATTAATTTATTATCGTATATACCTCAACTTCGTCGTTTGAATATTGATTCACTAAAATAACCTTATCATAAATAAATATGTTCTTTTGTGTTTTTACAATAAAGTGTTCTCATTGAGGCCTATATCTATACAAATTTTCAAGTCATAACTCAGAGTTCCTGAGGGTAATCACGAATTTTTTTTTCTTACAAATACATTAAAAACACAGTATTCTCAAGAGTAATAAGCTAGAAATACGAATTTTTTTCAGAGAATTCATAGATCATTAGGATCTACATAATGTATTTACGTTCGACTTAACAGCGATGTGATAGTTGAGAATGCTCCCTCATTAGTATGATTTATTTTATACTTGTTGTTTGCATAGTAAATTCATTCAATAAGTTATTTTGCTGTAGTTTCGTGAAGCATGATTACATCGCGCAAGTTAATGTGTTAATTTTGACAAATGAAATAAGTAAAAGAAAAAAAAAACAGTCATGTATACAGTAGTGATTCATTGTTATGAGATTCATCTTTTTTGTAACGTATATTTTTAAGTAAAAGCAGAATATTTTCTTCATATAACGAAATTCTGTTACAGTCACACGAAAATAAAAAAAATCGACAAGCTGTTCTCATTGATGATCTTGGTTGTGCTAATTATTCTTTCTTTCCTCTTTTGTTCGACGAATTGTTTTTATTGTCTTGTTGACAACGAACCATTGGTGGTAAACAGTGATCTAATAAGTATATTTGATAACTACACTACTGAAATCAAGATCAATAATTAAAAAGTAGTTTTACCACTTTCATAGCTGAATAGTGACACATCCTGATCATTTGATTCACGATTGATAATCTTTAAGAGTTTCAAAAATCGTTTTGAAATGAGGGTAATGGTTTAGCTGGTGTTCCACTGGTAACATTAAAGCTAGTGTTCCCTC